AAAGTACATGATAAAATTACTTAAAAAAAAAAGATGCTGTCCTTTGCTTTTCAGTCGCTTCTTTCTTCGTTTGGATAAATCGTCATAGTGAAATCAGGAAGTTCATATGCCGATTTCAACAATTCACTTAAGTTGTGGAAAATTAAAGGCACTTCATTTTCTTCTTATCACCTCTGCTTTCATGGCCACCTGATGTTATAATTAAGCTTATCCAGTTCTTCATTTATCATTTCTCTATTAATTCTCTGACTTCTCCTCCTTCCATACCTGAAAGGTCCTTCGCTGTCAACTACTTCTGCAATTTGTATGATTTCTTTGGCTTCATTTTCATCAGATGGAAATCCTTCACCACTGTTGATAACTTCTGGCCACAACTGATACCAGCAATTACTCAGCGTTGATGAATGAACGAAGTTCTAGCATTGGAAAAATAAAATTGAAATAATGCCTAGAAGCGAAATCACATTCCGCAAATCCGCGCTCAGCAGGGTATTACTGTAATTCTAAGATGATTCAATATAAACGTTTTACCATTTTTAGACTAAAAGGGGAAACAACTAAATGTTGCAAATGAAATTGACATTGAATGATGTCAAATTCCTATCTCAGTTGCAGAAGAAAGCAAGTGCTGTGATTTATGCAATGTTACGTGACATGGTTGATACAACTGTAGCATTTGTTTTATTCAATGAGCATAAAACATTGAATATTATCAGCATCAAGTCAATTATCAAACAGTCAATTAAGGTTGTTATATCTTTATAAGTTCAAAATGAGAAATTCTACCGTGGCTGCAGTAGAAAAAAATCAAAATAGCATTCAATGGAAGAACAACTAATGACAGTTCCATTTGCCATTGGTTTGCAAAGTTTTGCTTAGGAGATCTGAGATTATAAAATGAACCCTGTACCCACCATCCTTCCTCTTGGTTTGAATGAATTAAAGGATTTAATCAAATCAGATCTATGAGAAACTGAATGAAAGATCACTCACACACTGAAGTACATTTGTTAACTGTTTCACAGCATTTGGATTGGTTTAGATTGGATTACTCAATTTTGGCAAAACACATGATTGCTATCTGCCTGAAGGGAGGGATGCCTTCGTGGAGAACTTTCTAAGGAAAACTGGCTCATGTTACAGATGGGGAAAATCACGAAAACGCCAATGCAGCCAGCCCGTTCACGGTATTCGAACCTTGGACTGAACTACCAGTTTTCAGTGCCTCAGGGTATTTGGAAATAAAACAATAAGTAAGGAACCTAGACAGGTGTGTATCTCATGAACTCTCTGATAAAAACAAAGCACAGCATCTGGAAGTATACTCTTTTCTCTCTGAAGTAAAGAGAAAAGGTTCCTATAATGAATTTTGATTGAGTAAGAAGAGTATATTTCTATGACAATTATACACATTCACTGCAAATGCTGAGATGGCAAAACATTCCAGGAAGGACTCCAAAAGTAATTTTGCATCCAAAGAAGATATTTACTGTATGGTTGTTATCTAGTGTTATTCACTACTCCTTCCTTTCATTCATTGAAACTATTCAAGTAGCTCAGTATTGTACAGATATGCCAGAAATATATGAAAAATTGTGCTTTAAGCAACCAGCAGTTGTAATGAATATGAAGTCCTATTGCTTCAAAACCTTCACTGCTTTCTCAATTCTATGTAGCACTGTCAACCATACTGCAAATCAAAAATCTAGAGTACTAAATTGCATCTCATCCTCCATATTCTAGAGACATTTATCCAAGATTACCAATTTTTCCAGCACCTGAGCCATTGTTTGGGGGAGATGGATGTCCAAGAAATGCATTTCCAACAATGAAACAATTTATTGGGCAGTGGATGATTTCATCACTTCCAGAGACAATGACTTTTTACAAATGTGAAATAAATTACTTTGCCACAATGATGCTGATGAAGATTATTTTGACTAAGCATGTATGCTTTTACTTTTACCCCCCATTGTTCTTAAAATCAGCCACTTCATTTGCACCCCATATGTACTGAGATGATGATAAGATGCTACAGACTTTTCTGAATGAAGATAATTCTCGACTTAGTTCTTTCTCTTTATTCAAGCATATAGAAATTACATAGGATCAGCAAAACATGGGACTTACATACCTGCTAATTTAAATTTTACATCTTTTTTACACCTTTAGTGCAGGAAAGGCAGCATAAGAAAACTTTAGTTTCGTTGATGCTGCAGTTCTTTTCATTTTTAACAGCAAGCCAGATACATTAGTATAAGGGAACAAATTTACTGAGAAGTTCCTTGAGTATAACACGAATACACATTGCGACAAATTCTGAAGGACAACTACAAGCTGAAGAACACATAACCAGAGAGTAAAAACAAAAAACAAAAACAAAAAAAAAGGTTTAAAAAAGAACATTCAGGTTGTGGTTATCTGGGATATTTTGTTATAGTTTAAAAGAGTGTGTTATACTTTAAAATTGGTGTTAGATTTAACAAATAAATGTTATACTTTAAAATAGGAATTTCAAGGTTATTTTCAATTGACTGATTTACTCGTAACTGTGGAAAATAGGGTCGAGTCACATAATTTTTTCATCCACTTCATTTCTATTTACCATGCTTTTCTTCAAGAGAAGCACATGAACGGAGGCTGAATTGAACTACAGTCTCAAATGATATGGAGAAAATAAATGCTGTGTGCTGATGATGACACAAATTACAACTGAAAATATGATAGAGAAAGAAGGCTGGCAACAGCCTTAAATTGCCTAATTTAAAGTAATAGACTATTGCAGACTATTTAAGGTAACAGAAGATGCTTAAATAACACCCATTTTTATTTTCTTAAGTACGTAAAAACATGTTATTTATTTACTTACTTATTTATTTTGGAGAGGGAAATAACTGAATTTAAAAGTAACTTTAGAGGCTATTATAAATAAAATTAAAATTGTATCTTCCTAATTTTAGAATTTTTCCCAAGTACCTCCTCTGCGCAGCTGCTCTGCTTCCAATTGTAGCCTCATGGATAAAAAGCATGATGGTGAGTTTTGCATTCATGCAGTGATACATTATACTCAAAATTTGCACTTACATTAACAGAACAGTTTTATTTACCATTCAACAACACTCTGTATCCCCTGAAGGGAACATTTCTGCATACAAATTACATTACAAAACCTACTTATTTGGATCATGGCCTTACATTTTTGTCATTCTGCTAGATAAATTTTAATCACCCTGCATTATATACCGTATTGATAAAGGTTCTTACCCTCCCTTTATTTTCACAACCCTTAGTTACAGACATATAGTACTTCTAGTTACAAAAATGTTTTAAATGCTGCAAATATTCATGTCTTAACATTTTAAAGCTTAAAGTATTTTTTTTAAAAAATCTAATTATATATATATATATATATATATATATATATATTTCCCTGGTCTTTATATTGTATTCGGAAAAATGTTGTACATATTAAAAATAATACATAAAACATACGACTCCCATATGACATAAAACTGTTCATGATATTTCAATTCAAAGTTGAAAATCATATTAAAGGGCTGCACAAAAATTGAAGAGCAAAATATTTGTGCATAATTAAATATAAAATAAAGAGCTTATAAAATTTTTTATGGTAATAAATTAAGTGAAGTGAAGTCCATGCAGATTATTGTGAAAAGTGCAAATGAATACGTTTGTAAAATTGAGATCTTGTCCACAAAATCTTATAAAATCACTGCTAGAAAACACTGCCAGGCTTCAATATTAGCATAGAGCCAAATCGTAACATTGTTGCATGAATTAAAAATATTTCTAGTATAATGCTTTTTCTTTATGATTATTACATTATGATTTTAAAATAACAAAATTGCATGAGAATAGCAATAACATATTGATTGTTAGCACTTGAAAACAAAAACTAATTGTGTGCAAATTTTGTCACCATATGAGTTACAACAAAATCATAAATTAAAGGCTGTTATACACTAGCAAATCAAATATATATATATATATATCAGTGAATAACAAGTTGGAAATGTCAACAATAGAAAATTTTGAAATTAAATATCTCAGTCAATTTTTGTCATATGAGAGTCAAACATTTTGTATTTTATTTTTTATAATAAGCATAAAATTTAATGTGCGGAAGTACGGGAAATAGAAAACTACTTTAAAAGTTAGATTTCGTAATTTATTTAAATTTGAAATTGTTAAAATATAAATATTCACATCATTCAAAACATTTTTATAACTGTAAGTATAAGATAACAAAATAAAGGCTGAGTATAAACTTTTGATGACATGGTTTCTGTATATTCTCATCCCTTTTTCAAAAAGAAAAAAAAAAAAAAAAATTACAGCACAGGTCATATCAAGCTGTAACGGTCATATACAGTGTTATATAATCCCTGTACTACACAACTAGAAGGCACTGTGTACGTTCCAATAGCCAGTGGCAGAAAAGATGCAAAAGGTGTAGAATTTGGAAGATGAGATACCTAATAATGTACCCTTATATTTTTATTGTAAATAAATTTTGTCATTGTTTTCGAAAGCCTCTTTGGTGCAGCATTAGACACACTGAATCATTTGATGCAAAATAGTCTCCAGGTAGGATACCAATGCTATACAGACTTTTCCTTTCAATTAAAAAAAAATACATTTAAATCCTTGCATTCTTGTCTAACTTTCCACCTAACAAAAAACTTATAGTAGAATAACTAAATAGTTTCTTTTATAAGTGAATAAAAAATCCTTAATTATTATATCACTATAACATTAGAAACAAATCTCAAATACAGTTTTGTTAGTGAGAACAAAAATAAAATTTTTATGATAAATTCAAAATAAAAAAAAAATAAATAAATGAATTTCTATTTAAAACGTATTTTAAATAGAAATTCACAAGTAAGTTTCACAAGTAAGAAATTCCATATGTTTCCTAGATGCTCATGCTGAATATGAAGCTCATAAAATCAACTAGACAATATGAATGAAGCAAGTTTCATGCATAAAATTCCATTTAATAAAAAGTTAAGTTTCTATATTTGACAAACGATCACATACATCTGACCCTTTTTCTTTATTATTTTCGATTCGAGCTATTCTTGAACCAAACTGAATAGCTCTCTTTGGCAACATGGCAGCTTCTGTCAAACCAAGTTTAAATGCTAATAGTCGCAGAAGCAACTTTTCTCCAATTCCTCTGGGATAATTTAAATTGGCCTGAAAAGGAATGGTTCATGAAAATATTTATTATTTTTAAAATTCTTTATTATTATTTATTATTTAAAAGAATAAAGTATAAAATTTACCTTGAACCAAATTGGAAGACCATTTAAGAAACAAACAACATTTTCATCTAGGAATGGATAACGAGATTCAACACCATTATCTGCAATTATTCTAAAATAAACAACACACACTGCTTATGTTTTAGAGAAATTAATAAAATAATATCACATTTATTAAACTGCTTAGTTTCAGAAGGTTTCCTCGGCAGTCGGTTATCATGCAGAACTTACGAGAAGACAACTATATGAATTAAGATTACCTGTCATCTCTTCCAAGATTTCTTGAACCAATTCTATCAATTTCTAGAGATATTTCTTCAATCAGACCACTCCAGCCAGCAACACTAAAATGTTGATTTAAAATTCATGTACTGCTACACAAATATTATTATTTTCATCATCCTTATTATTAAACGAAGTCTTCATACCTAAATTTACCTCTATGTCTTGAGTAACCAGCAAGCTGTTCATCAGCTCCCATTCCAACAAGCAATACCTTTGATAAAGAAAAGAACAATAATAATTATAGAAATGCAGCAACAAAATTGTCCTAAATAAGTCACTACATTAAATTCTGATTCAGAACTTTTGACCAGTGAAAGTGTTAACAAATATAAAAATTTTTTCAATACATATGCATATAAATGCAATTCAGAGACAATAACATAAATTCTTTTTAAAAAAGATAGAAAAAAATAGAAAATCACATTTACTGCTGCTGCAGATAGCATAAATAAGTACATAAACAGAGCTACTCATAAGTGTCCAGCAATAGCTGGCTTCAGCAATGTTGCTATTTTATTGCCCTCTACTGTAAATCACTTAGCGACAGCTCCATTTCTAGTAATGAATTCAGTACTAGAAAATAAACGATCATGCATAAGGCATTTATAAATAAAAAGTAAGAAAATTCTAAAATCTAATTCTCAACTGAACTACCCCTTTTTCAGAAGCAAGACAGTCAACTGCTTTAACCTTTTTTAGACGGGATGGCCATTATAGTGGCCAGAGAGTCCTCTCTTTGAAAAGACGTGGTTGTCCACTTTAGCGGCCATGTCTTTGTCCTCCATTTTCCAGGCTGAAAAGTGGGGTGAAATGTCAAATTTGACTACATTTCACGTAGGGTTTTAACCACTTATCTCTTTCAAAGGCCTTCCTTTTGCGACATAGATGCACCCCTCTGAGAATCCATTAAACTACACACAAGAATCTTTGTTGCAAATAGGAGATGATTTCTTATAGGGTGGAAAGCATTCGGTTCAAGATTCCCCCATCCTTTGGTAGCTTTTACTACTACCAATGCCCCAGCCTCAAAAGGTTAAGAACAATAATCAATTGCTCAATAATATGCAATAATGCAATAATCAATCTAAGAAACATAGGAAATATTGTCATAATCATTTTACTACATAGGAAAAAAACAGAAAAGTGGTTAAATAACTAATTTAGAGGTTGTAGATTATGTTGTCTAATGAAATTGAAAGAGAATACATTTAAAATGTTGCTGAATATTACCACAGATCTGCTTAACAAACAATAATTAATAATTTTTTCTTCCCCCTCCATTTAACTTCCTTAGGGGTTATTATAGAGACCATTTTACATTTTAACCACATTCAGATATTGTCTATATTTATTTTCCACTCCTATTTAAATCTAATATTTGAAATGCATAAAAATTAAAATATTAATTCAAATACTTTTTCTCCTACCTTTCTTTCTGTCCAGTGAAAATATAGACAGTCCACTGAAAATATAGAATCCAGTGGCTGTCCAGTTAAAATATAGACACATCAAAAAAGTTTTTCCAAATTTAATGTATGCTTGAAAAGGTTTTAATACTCAGGCATACATAAACCACCATTAGTTATAAACTCTTGAATTTAGCAGGCAGGTGCAAGATACCATCTTTGTACTTGTAGTTCCAATGTTGGATTTGTGTGAATAATTATAATCATAAAGATTATATCACAAAGATGTGCAAGAAACATTTCTTCACTAATTCATGTACATGATACCATTTTCTCATCTATCAATTGGAACACATTTTTCAAGCTGGCTTCACTCCTGCCTGAAACTGAATTCAAGTATAAGCAGTCTTAGTTTTTCACACAGGAGATACATTTTGCACACAGACTGGTATCTGCTAATTACAACACAGCTAAAATTGTAGCAATTTTTTTTCTAGATAATTATGGCAGATAGTTGATAAGTCCAAATTTTCACTGAACAGCCTGGTGTATTAAAAAATGACCTTTCCTGAAATAATATATTCTTACCCTGGCAGGTGATTTGTAATTATGATTGCCTTCAGTTGAACTAATGACACCTTCTCCATGAGCAGCAAACCATAATGCACATCCAATGCTATCATCAAGAACAGTGTTTGATGGTTTCAAAAGATCACTCAAAGTTTCTTTTCTGCAGATTAGAATTTTAGAGATTTATATAAAATAATATAGATAAAAAGTGTATAATTAAAATATAACTATCAGTATAGATAATTATATAAAGATATTTTAATGCAGATTATTTAGCCAGGTATACTTAATACTATTTAATAGCCTTTTATATATATAAGTATGGTAATTAGAAAATTAATTATAGTAGTCTAATTTAAATTGTTCAGTCCATTTTAAAAAGAAAAACTACAGTAATGAGAACAAGTATATTATTTAAAGAAATTTTGCATCAAATGTGATTTCTTAATTTCTCTAGATTTGAAGAAGTTAAAATTAATAAAGTAATAACCTTGTATTTGGCACAGATTTAGACAAAAATTAAAAATACATGGTCAAATAAGCATGTTTCTCTTTAGAGTTGACGGAATTTCTTCAAAAAGAAAGGAAACTCAACTCATTCTAATGCATCTCACAATAAGTAAAATCAAAGACTCCCTCAAGCATTACATTGGATCACTAAACTTTGAAACTCTGCATGTAAATAAAACCATTGTAGTTAAAATTTTATAAGTATTAAAACATTAACACGGCTCAAATATAGTTTAAAGATGATAACTACACTCACTCACTCTCATGAAAAATTCTCTAAAAAATTTAATTTTGAAAAGAAATTTGGGATTACTGAGAATTTATTAAACTGAGATAAAATATTTATCAACTGAATTTATGGCTTCAAAACACTTTTCCCTTGGCAAGTTCTGTCTGAAGCATTAGACAAAGCAGCTTAATTTTTATTTTATTTTTTCTTGCCTTTGTTTGCAATTTGTAACTTTTTAGATGTAATCTCAATTCTTACATAATAATTTTTTGTGTTTTTCTTTGGATCATTTACATTTTTTAATTAAGTACCATTCAATTCATGTAATTAATGTTGTTGGTAAGCATTGCACCGGAATAGGAAAATATGTTTGCCTTAAATTTTTGGAATTAAATTTATATTTAATTTACATTTTGACTTTTACTGTACTTTTTAATTGATTTATGTGTGTGTATAATATATATATACACACACAAACATATCTTTATAATGAAAAATTTATGTGTAATGACATACGAGATGATACAGCTGATGCTTTTTTCCTTCAGTAAGATGCAGGTACTAACACAAATCATCTCTATCTAAGTAAAATTCATAGAACTACATAAAGAAATAATCCTAATGCCACAAAAAATTCCATTATTTAATAATAAAATATTGTTATTCAACTAGTCATTTTTCACTAGTCATCATTCTACTTGTCATTTTTCACATATTCACAGCAATATAACTGGCAGAACAAAAACAGCAGATTGACTACATTTTAACTTAATGAAGACAGCCATGAGAGTAAAAAATTATATTATTGATGTTGTATAATACATGGAGAAGCTATTCTGTTTCTCAATAGAGAGACATATAACAACCTTACTTTTATTGGCAACTTAAGAGGAAACCTTACTTTTATTGGATTGATATGATTTGATAAAAGAAATTCAGCTTCTTTTGCCATAATGCAAACACACTTTGATCATAATACTGATACATAATGCATGACTTATATTAAATAAGAATCATATGACCAAATTAATTTTGAAGTAAGCCACCAAAAAATACTTATTACAGTCAAAAGTCGTTAATTCGGACTCGTCGTGACTTCGGCGATTCCGGATTATAAATCATCAGTTTAAATCTGGTAAGATGGTATGCAGAAATTACAAATTCAAATATGAAATCGTAATTTATGAAATAAGACAATTATGATCTAAAGGGTATCCAAATTTACAAAAGAAAAAGCTTAATATTATTTGTTTTACTTATTAAACATTTCTTTTAATGTAGTTGCTTCGTTTCATGTGATAACTTTCTCTTTATTTTATTAAACAGACCAATTTTGTTTAGTTACAAATTTCCCTGTTCAAGTTCCAATTGCTTGGTTGAGATACCGAATTTTGTCATCGAAATGTTTTCGTTTTCAATAACCTGGGGTCCTTTCACTATCGGAACGAATTATATGAGAGGAACTTGATTTAATCATATCAAAGACGAAGTACATCGAGATGAAAACTACACTTAGTAAGGAAATAAAGCCAATAAAATATAAAAACATCTGCCCCTGAAGATAAGGTCGTGCGACAGAATCAACTTCCAATCGGCAGTGTGAAATTGATCAACAGATTGGATTTCAAAACATACTTTCGCTTTGTAGATACAAATTACATATTAGTAAATATTATCGGAAATTCTATTTGACATAATCGAAAGTTCAAAGCTTACTTTTATGAAATTGCTCTAACAGTCTGCAAAAAATAAAAGCCGGATCCAATTCGAAGATTAAGGAACGCAATCTGCAACATTAACTGATTAGATATTTTCTTAGCTTATACCTCCGTTACACATTAAACGCGCATGCGCACACACATATTCGCACCCGTAAAGGTCTTACGCGCACTCTTAAATGCCTGTGCGCATGCATGAACGCAACGCATGCGCAGAAAGTTTGTAGCTTTGAGGTCCGGATTATAGATCATTCCAGATCATGGGCGTCCGAATTAACGACTTTTGACTGTATAAGCATTTATTATTTCTAGAATAGAAAAGGAAATGAAAAAAACTAAAAAAGAATATTTAAGCGATTAATAAATATTCAGGTTAGAGTTTTTTCTACATACATATATATATATTTGGTTGTTTCCTACAGAACTGTAAGTTTCTCATATTGTTTTAATTTCCTTAAACTGCACAAAAGTTATACATTCTTTTCCCATATTAAGTATTTTTAAACGAATTAAAAGGTTTTTTATACTTTTTTTCCACAATAATGCATTATTTACCAGAAGAAGTAAATTCTTTACGTGTTACATGCAAGTAAGTTTTTCTTCAGTCAAATTGACCATTGTATTTTTAATATAATTTGATGTGTTCTTTAACTAGATTTTCTATATTACTGCAACTTATATTCTTATGGTTATTTTTTAAAATTATGTATTTATTAATGTGAGACTGTTTCACATCAAAGAAACTGCAGACTTTTTTAGCATGGAATGTGAATATTGCATATAGCTTTTAAATTTTCTTTTTAGTGTTTAATTTATTTTAATTGCTTAAAACACCATGGGAACAAAATGGGATTCAATTCTCTAGGATTGTTCAAGTTTTAATGTTTCAGAATATTACCCCTTGAGAAGATGGTATGGAGCAAGAAAATATGAATAATCTAAAATGGATTTTATAATTTTAATATGATTTTTTACTTTAAATAAATTTAAGCACATTTTCCAAAATAGTACAAGATCGACTTAACTTTTTCTTTATGTTTTTTAATATTTAATATATTTTAATAAAATTTCAAAATTTTCTTAGGATGTCTTAATCTACTTATACTAAATTAGTAATTAAGTTTACATGCCATCAATTTTGTCGACAGCAAGAAATACTTAAAATAAATACTTCTTCGAAAATACTAAAATTTAAAAGCTTCATAAATATCCAAAAACTGAGGGCAAAAGAAATAAAAAGCATTTTCCTTAAATAACAAATGTGGAATCAGCGATGTTTTCTAAATAAGCATTTATATTAATTTACTGATTACGCTGAGGAACAATTTGTAACATAATTCCTGTTGAGTTTGACTTTTGAACTGTTTTAGAGTGTTAAATAAGCATGCTGATTTCAAAATTGTAGTTTCCTTCTAGCCTGTAAAGTTTTTTATGTGAATTTGACCACTCTATGTGGCATAAAATGTCATCATAGGAAGTAATACTGCTTGCTCTCCAATTGGCTGACACAAAACCTTCAACTAACATCAGGTTAATGATGCCACAGAAGACTAGTGACAGGTGTCTGTATGTCTAGACTAGTTTAGTTACACCTGTGATAGTGTAGTGAGATGTGTGTTGCTCATATGTAGTGAAGCACATTCAACATGGAGTATGAGTTCTTGTTTGTATACAAAGTCAGCAGTGTTTAGTTTTTATTTATATATGAATTGAAACCTTTCCTTTCATCTGCTTCAGCTAATTTGGGTAGTAAGTGCTTATACAGCCCCAGTTTGTTTTTATATATATGTGGCAGTTTTACCATTCCCAGTCAAAGGACAAACATCAGTACATTTGTCAGGCAAGCCTACTTTAAAGTGAAAAATTGGTGATCAAGATAAATCACGAGCCCCTCACAAAGTGTGTAAGCAGTGTGATGAGAGTTTATGGATGTGTATGAAAGGAACACATTTTAAATTTCCATTTCATATACGTATGATTTGGCAAAAGCCTAAAGATCAGTCAAGTGATTCTTACTCTTGTATAGTGAAAACACCAGGATATAATAAGAAATCAAATGTCAAGTAAAGTACTCTAGTTTACCATCAGCTATACACCCAGTGCCTCACTCAGCTGAACTTACAGTGCCAGTTTTCAAAGAACTACTATCTTTGGAAATAAAGGAATACAATTCTGGTGACTATCGATTTGATTCTGTTCACAATGGATATGACCCATGAGTTGAATGATTTGGCTTGAGATTTGCGACCATCCAAAAAAGGTTCAATGCTGTTAGCATCAAGATCGCATGAGAACAACTTGCTTGAAAAAGGAGCTAAGGTATTCTACTTTTGATGAAGAGAAAGAGTGTCTCTGCAACATTTTCGAAGTGATGATGGATTTGTGTATTGCCATAATGTACATGGTTTAATAGAAGAGTTGGGAATTTTAGCCTATAATGCAACTCAATAGCGATTTTTCATTGATAATTCAAAGCAGAGCTTGGAGTGTGTTCTCATTCACTATGGAAATTTATTTGGTGCAGTCCAAACAAGCCATTCCGTTTGTTTATGTTAAGAATATGAATACATAAAGAAAGTCATTGATTTGTTGCAATTTTACATGCACCAATGGATCATTTGTGCTGACCTTAAAATGCTCCGCTTCCTTAACCAGCAATATGGATATACCAAGTATTCCTGTTTTTAGAGTATGTGGGACAACAGAGCTCATGAAAAGCATTGGGTGTAGTCAAACTGGCTGCCAAGATCCAAACTGAAACCTGGTGATCCAAACATTCTACATCAACCACTTGTCGACAGTAATAAACATTACATTTCCAGCTCAGCATATACAACTGGGTCTCATGTAACACTTTTTAAAGCTTTGCCAGTTAAAGAAGACTGTTTGAAGTATCTCATTTCAGCATTGTCAAACCTGTCAGTTAAAAAGATAAAGACCAGTGTGTTTGATGTTTCAGAGATTCAGTAGCTCCTTAAAGATGAATAGTTCATTGAAACAATGACAGAATTTCAAAAGAATGCTTGGTTGGCATTTAAAAACATAGTCAAAGACTATTTTTAGAAATACATGAATACAGAATTATAGCAAAATTGTCTGGCAACTTTTGGAGACGTTCAAAATGCTTGGTTGCAAGATGAGTATGAAATTGCATTTTTTGCATAGCCATCTTGATAATTGCCCAAAAAATCTTGGTGCAGTCAGTGACGAGCAGGGTAAATGATTCCACTGAGAACTGACGGTTCTGAAGGCATGGTGCCTAGGTAGATGGGATATACTGGATGGCTGACTATTGTTGGAGCATAGAGCAAGAATGTCCACAGATTAAACAATCCGGAAAAAGGCATAAGCAAAAATGTTTGCCTTAATATGTACATTTACCATTTGGCAAAAATACTTTATTATTTGTATAAACAAAATTTAACTTGCAGTAACTATACATAGCTTTTGTATGAATAAAACTATTTTTGTGAACAGTATATTTGGTAAGTTGTCCCTTTTAGTTTCCTTTATATGCATACTTTGTATGATTTTTGAGACAAAAAAAGGGTATCCTGTAGCTTAAAAAGTTGATCTAATAGGCAAAAACTGGGTTTCTTTTTGGATTCTGAGGCCAAAAGTTATTAAGTCAGCTACAAGTGACAGATCTAAAACAATGAAATTGCTGTTCCCCAAGGTTATTTAATAGTTATAGTACTAATAATACAAATAATTAAAGTATTATTTTATTTTAATTGCAATTATTCTTCTCATTTTGATTTTTTTTTTTTTTTGTTTTTTTTTTTTTTTTTTTTTTTTTTTTTTTTTTTTTTTTTTTTTTTTTTTTTTTTTTTTTTTTTTTTTTTTTTTTTTTTGTTTTTGTTTTTTTTTTTTTTTTTTTTTTTTTTTTTTTTTTTTTTTTTTTTTTTTTTTTTTTTTTTTTTTTTTTTTTTTTTTTTTTTTTTTTTTTTTTGCTTGTTTTTTTTTTTTTGTTTTGTTTTTTTTTTTTTATTTTTTGTTTTTTTGTTAGGGTACCCTACAAAAATAATACTAAAAACAAAAAACGGGGTTTTATCACCAAACCTGCAATAATAAATTAAATCAAAATTTTTTCTTATTCTTTTTTTTTTTTTTTTTTTTTTTTTTTTTTTTTTTTGTTTTTTTTTTTTTTTTAATCTAACTTAATAGTACAAATTTTATATTAATAAAACATACCTTTTTAAGATTAATTCATCTTTAGTCACATTAACCTGCAATAATAAATGTAAATCAAAATTTATCCTTATTCACTACTTTCTTCGAATGGGAAAATATCTGCACATTATAATATACATATCATAATAATGTGCAGATTATATAATTACATATATGAATAAATAATGTCCTAAGTATAAAAATGTATATTTACATAAAAATAAATGCACAAAATCTGCAGAATAATTTAGCAAAAAATAAAGGACAACATAAAAGCATTATTGTTATGTTTAAGTATTATTAGAATAACAGATGTCTAATATGCAAGATATTTCCTTGCTTTATACTCCAGTTTAGGATATAATAATAAGAGTAAATGCATGAATAACGAATAGCAGTTCTGATGTTCACTACACTTTGTCATCACTTATTATCTTGCATGCATAAAGTATCACAAAATATGCTTCTTTCATTGCATGAAATGCTTCGGTTGCATCACAAATGAGCCAAAGAAGAGTCTTTATTGACATACGAATCATTCACTACAGTGTTTGTAAAAATGTCATAGCTTTTGACATATAAAACCAAGAATGTGGTTCGAGTGCAAATGGAATTGCACACTGGTATGCAAACATTAAGGATAAAGCAGAGAAATTAACATAACAGCAAAACAAATGGGCAGGACTAATTAAAAGACAAATAAGATCACTTGTGTGGTACATCCAGTATGGTGGGCTTGTCACATATATGTGACATGATATATTGTGGGCATGTGGAATGGGCACAAGCACAAAGTTGACCTACACTCAGCATTATAGCACACTATTACACAGTCCACTTCAGTTTAAATGACACTAAATTGCTATCATAGTGTGATAGCTCCAACAGACAGATCTGCAGAAAACATCTGGATGGTTTTACCTAAGTCAAATCATTGGAAAGTTAGACACAATTTGAAGTGTGACCAATACGTTGAGGAATTCAGGACACACAACATCATGTCACAAGTTTGGATGCCATTTCAAACTACAGAAACAAACAATTGTCAAATGGTTTAGTAGTGATCCCCAAAGGGATTATATCATGCTCAACAAATAAAGAGAACTCAAGAACACATAATATACGAAATAGCAAAACACAATGCAATGCCTCCTGGATCCATAATACTGTGTTTTATAATGGCCAGAGGACTGCATACAAATGGTCTCTTACTTGGCAACCAGTATGGCATGTACCATTAATGTCTACTCATTAGAGATGCCATAATAACATAAGGTTAGGAGAACTCAGTAATGATGCTGAGTACTCATTATAGAAAAGAACTGTCTATTAAGTCTGAGACATTAAGATAACTGAGATATTAAGTCTCACAAGTGATTCTATACATATAACCATTAGAAGAGTGGGAAACACACAATTACTTTTCCATCATCATCAAAAGAAAGTAATAAAGAAGTAGCAGAGTTCTTGTTTTGGTAGGTTTAAAGCTTAACTACCGAAGGAAGCTTTACATTTTTTAAGGCGTCTCACCCACTGGTAACCAATTTTGTACTAAATTCTTTTTCCCACATCTTTTCTAGGATGTGGTAGACTATGAACTCCTGACAGTAATATTACACTTCATTCTATAGCAGATGTTCCTGTGACACAGCATATTAATCACATGGATTGTCCCATACAGCTCTCAGATGTGAATTCAACTGAATATGTGTGGGATGCTCTCATGAAATGCCTAACATCACATCACCAGCTACCAGCAACAATTCTGCAGCTGCAGTTAGTGGTACAAGAGGAATGGAGGAATCACAATTAGTGCTCAAAAGCTCACTAATAGCCTCATATTAAATTATAACAAACAGTGCACATTCGGCATTATAGTCAGGGATGATCCTATTTCTTACTGAGGAGTGCAGTTTTCTTACCTTTCATCAGTCACATAAATGTTTTTGTCTTCCTTCTTGCTATCCTCAGAATCCACTTTTGGAAAAAGGCCATTCACATTCTTTTTTGGTTAGTTTTGATCAGCTTTTCCAAACTTAATATATTAAAGTATGCTTTATACTAATATAAAATACTGTTGTGTGTTTTTATATGTGAAAACCTGTTATATTCTTAATTTTTGCTTATCAAAGCAATTTACGTTAACTGGTGTGATAAACATGACTAAATTTCACTATATGGAGGACTATATTAGTCTTATAACCAGAAATTAGTAAAAGATACCTGCTCGCAGATAGTGAAGCATGATGCCTTACAAATTTGATTTCAAGAATGCAGTTGGCAAAGGAAAAAGAAAAAAAAAAAAAAAACACTTTTATTGTTCAAAATACATAGCAAAATATTTGAACATACTGTGATAAATCTTTGAATCAGTTATGCTAGTAATCTCAAATCTTTACTTTTGCAATGCAACCTAAATTTTCCTGCTAATATGGAATAAACTGGATAAATTATTTGAAATGACAGATGGAATTCTAGCAGAGTCTGACAGCAGCATTTCAATGAAATCTGTATGCTATGATAACCACCAATGAATGCCTGGCTGATAACTACATTTTCTATGTAAGCCAACTCGAAACAAAAGACACATCACATTTCTCAAGACACACAGGCCACTGCAGACATCATTGCTCTGGAAGACCAAGATATCAGATAAATGCTACTATCAATAATAGTATAAGGGAAAATACCAATAATTGATTAAAAAAATCTCCAGCAGATAAAAATTTGCCACAGATAAAAATTAGAATTTTGCAGGGGGGGAATTGACATTGATAAAACAACTTTAAAATGATGTTGAGTTCCATAAGTGAAATGTGGTGTTTATTTCTAGAGATATTTTCAACCCGAAACAGCTGAAAATTGAAATAGAACAAAGTGAAAAAACTAAGCAATATGTATTCCCCCTACGACATATTTGAAGCAGAAAAGGCTGGGTTGTTTTTAATATGATAGTTGACAGATCTTAAATGCTGCAGATGAAACTAAAAGTGGGGAGAATAAAGCTATGCAATAAGTAACAGTTCTCTCGTCTGTCAATATGATGGAACTGAGAAACTTCTATATTTAGTTATCAGCACAGTTAGAAATCCTAAGTGTTCCATTAGCATTGAAAACCTTATCAGTAACCTATTAAATTAGTGTAAAATTTTGGTTAACTACCAGTGTATTTTAGTAACAATTGCTTCTTTGGATAGACTGATGACAAATAGGGCAGTAAAATATTCATTCAAATATAAAGTGATAAATATACTGACTATTCCAATAATTTGAAGTCCATAAGAACAGAATATTAATCATCCAACATTATAGCTATATTTCTGCCTCTTAAGCAAGGGTTTAAATTTCAAATGTAATTATAAGAAATGGCTTTTGAGTAAATTCACTTCAACACTATGGAAAGATATTATTTACAAAGTGAAACAATGCTTCTCTCCAAAGCAGCATGGAATGCACGTTTCATGTTCAGTCAATCAAAGACAACAACAACAACAGAAAAAAAAAAGAAAAGAAAAGAAAGAGAGAAATTACTAAATGAAATTTCCGAAAATATGAACTTGAACGAAAACTGATTTTACAAAGATTATGTTATAATTTATTGAAATGTATAAAACATTTGTAACAAGCTAACATCACTTCTTGCTATTGCACACCGGAAAAACTATTTAAAAAAGTTAATTCCAAAGCCTAGCATAAAATGTGCTGTTAATTTACTGACACATTAATTCAAAAATAATAATAAATAAATTTAAAAAAAACTTTTTTGAGAGGTAAGTTGCAAAAATAAAGCAAATAGTTTATCGGCTACACTAGAAAATTACATTTTAAAAGCATCCACAATGCATAAAATAATAAGTACGAGCTTCTGATTATTTTTCTGTGAAAGAGATGTCTGTCACAGGCATAGACAAACTGTGGCTCTTTGGCACTTTAAATGCAGCTCTTAAATGCACAAGTAAATAGCAAAATAGCATTTTTTAAACATAATTTAAAACAAAAATTTATTTGGCTAGCCTTTTTAACCAAATCAATAATTTACCTTTTCTTTTTAATTAAAGTAAGTATTTAGTAATTTTAAGCAAGTACAAATTGCTATGTATTTGACAACACCCCACCCCACCCCACCCCACCCCCCGCAAAAAAAAATAAATAAATAAATATTGGGTGTTTTTAAAGTTCATTCTTCAGTAAAAGAATTTCACTATCCTGAAGTACATATTTATTGGCTATTATTCCATAACAAATTCTCCATTATTGTTTACAAAATATTGCCATTTATCAGGTAACTATAATATCTCTTTCCTCTGTGGTAGATTCCTCTCCTCTACCACAGAAGAAATTTTAGAATCCCTTGCAAAGATTTTCTAGCTTTTCATTGTGAGATAATTGTACAGTGACTGAAAGAAACATGATTCTGTTACAGCAATACCCAGTGAATGATGAGAGATATGATACAAGCTCCCGAGCTTAGGTAACTACCTTTGAATCCAAATTAATATGAGAGATCTTCCATTGCTGTGATGGAACACAATTTCCTGACTAGTAACAAGTACTTTTCTGTTACAGGACTGCAAAGACAGTTCAATTGCTTGCAGTACATCTCTCCATTTAATGCTTGCTTAGGTGAACACAGCTCCTAATACACTAGTCGTCTGAAATTCTACCAGATACTTAACAGAATCTGTGGTTACAGTTGCTTGTTTTGTAGGGGATTTCTCTGGCACCTAAACAATTTTGACTCATTTGACATTCTTGCAGAAAATACAATTTTCATCAAAAGCTTTACTATTTGACACAAAAACCAAAAATCGTTCTTCTCGATAAGCTTTGAAACACAATTCATTTTCTGATTAATCATGCACTTCTAAGTGTTCAAATTTATTACAAATCTGAAGAATGCATCTGCTTCTTTAGTGACTTTCTATATATGTCAAACTTGCCTGCTACTTTCTGCTGAGATAATATTTTTATCACTTTGAATGGTTTCCAAGAGATAGTCTTTCAATTCCTGATTATTTTTTGTCTTCAAGCTGGCCTTCACCATTACAGAAGCGCCAAAATTAATACTGCCCGATGCATTCTGATACAGTTTTATACTCACTGATGTCACCCATCCTTCAAATATGCTTCTGTCATATTATAGTCTAAATCACAATCATACAATAAATAATATCAGATAAGCTCCTTTCAGACCATCAACTTTTCCCCCTATCATTTAGCATTTAAAAATAACATACTCATATTAATACATTCTGTCTGCTGCTAATTAATGAATACAGATAAATTTCAAAACTCAAAAGTGTTATCTCAATAAAAATGTAAAAATTTTTGCATGTACAGAGCAATATACACAATAGCTCTGTTTCTAACATTTGTTATTGCAGAGATACTATCTATAGAATAAACACCAGCTATGAAAACAGAAAAGACAATTACACTAGAAGTATGTGTCCAAGATTTACTTTGAATCTTACTGACATATGAATGTGTGTAACAGTTGCTTGCAGTACAAAAAAACAAAATGCATCTACTGATCCAATTTGCAACTCATTAAAAACAAACTTCACCACTGATCCAATTTATGCCTCATGCATTAGATAAATGATTTAAATCTAGGTTTAATCTCCATGTTTTGTTTTTCGTGTTAACTGTGTGGAGAAAACCAAATCAATTTTTCTAATGCAAAAACCGCAGTTAAGCTGTCAGCTTAATTAAAATTTGTTCTAATATCTTGAACTACAGTTTCTCATAGCATTCTTTATTCTATTTCATTTCAGTCACTAGCTTCATTCTTTCCCGCAAAGTGTGTAAAATTCACTAGTTCTGTTCATCAACCTGTTGAATTACTCTTCATTCAAATTAAAAGCTTTAGTATTATAAAAAATGCAACATTTTATTCCATTTTAAATTTACTCTTATTAAAATTTGTTGACAACTATTACAGAGAAAAACAAGAAAATGCTTGGTTAGATTTCTAGAGAAAGAATGTCTGTATATTACATAAAAGTTTTAAGAGCATTTTTCCCTGAATACAGAGCAAACACCTGTAAGAATCATTTATTTTTGTTCACAATTAGTCATACTAAAAATTTAAAATCAATCCTAATTTATTTCATGATGTTACTGGAAAACACATTGGGCTGGCAATCGGCATTGCACCCGCTGGGAGTCTGAGTCCCAGCGAGCACAATGCGCACCCTTCATGTTTCTTGTTTCAGTAAAAAAAGCTTTACAGCCTCTACAAATGGTGCTCGAACAAAAAGGTGCACGATAATTCATCACCAATCAGGATTTGGCGACTGGGTTCATCCCTAGCTGCTCTTTGAGAGAGGGAGTATATATGATATTTTTTTTCTCTACCGGATGCCTTTATGGCACACAGGGATGCACATCCAGCTGAGAATAGGTCCAGAGTTTTAAGTCCCAGCAAGGACATTGCATATTGTTCACATTTCTGGCTTAAAAAAAAAAAAAAAAAAAAAAAAAAAAAAAAAAAAACTGAACAGACACTACACTTTTTAAAAGTAGTTTTTACTGTTTTTGAAATATTATGTATAATTATTTGCAATTCTTGGAAAATCTAGTTGTGGTTCTTGAATATTCCAGCAGTCTAACAGACAACTCTACTGACATTAAGTCTGATCATCCCTGATAGTGATCACTCCCGTACACAGTATTATGATTAATTCTTTTTATTTCATTCATTCATTCATTTTCATTTTATATTTTATCCTAGAAATAACTATCGTTCTGCTAAATTTTAAATATGTTTTTGTAGCCAAAGCTTATTTCATAACAGTTCTGTTTTACTATGTAATATGTACAGAATTTCTATAAAAACTTTAATTTTTAAGCAGTCATAGAAAGTATACTAAATCCATTTTTACTACAATAGTCATTCATTCTTTTTATGTAGTGAGGGGTAAAAAAAGCTTTACAATAAACATTGACTGTAGCAATTTTTGGAACCAAGAATGAGATTTACATTTTATGCCATACAAAATGAAATGTTAACTGTAACTCTATACCTAACATGCCAAACTTAGGAAGGTACACTGCGCAAAAAAATAAAAAAAAGGACAGTTCTATATTTCCCATTTTAATGGGCCGATTTCCAAATTCAAACTGCATTTTTTATGTCTTGAAAGCGTGACTTAGGATATATATTAGATTTATATATAACATTGTTCTAACATACATATTTTGATGCAAAATCAGACTTTCTGAAAAAACATACCAAACATACCAGTTTTTTTTTTTCCATATTTCGATTCTATGACTCAAATCCTGCCTAGATATTAAATTTTTAAAATCTGGTTTCAAAATTTACAGAGAAATTCATAAATTTATCTTGGCACAATTTTTTTAGTTTGCGCCAAGAATAATTCCCCTGGCAAACTTCTTAATATATGGCAATCTATTTTCCTTACCCTTCCATTCTGCTGGAGCAGAAAATAAGGCACCTCATTCCTACCTTTTTACATTGTTCATGAGCGGGAAAAAAATCACAACGTTCCTACTTTCAAATAATTTTAACAAAGCGTCTAAACCACATTTGATGTTCTATAACTTTCAACAAATATGCTAAATTTCAAAACGTGCCAATATATAAATTTATGTATATCTTCAGAAATTTTGAATTTTAAAAATGTAATTTTTTGCAGGTATGCTTAGAAATACATCTACTTTAAAATGATGGTAAAATTTTTATAGATTATAATTCAATTTTTTTTAATTATTTAAAAATAATTTTTTTAAATAAATCATAAAAAATGGGTGAATTTTATTTGGAATGAATCTGACTTTCGAAATGTGAAAGGAGGAACCGAATAAGTTCAATAGAAAAAAGAATGATTAATAAATATATACTAAAATCAATTACCACCGAGGAGCTAAAATTTTAACAGCTATTTTTTTTAAAAAACTACTGGTGCGATTTTTACAAAACTTGGTAGTTTGGCATAATTTGAGCCGTAGAATTGAAATACGGAAAAAAATTGGCATGTTTTTCAGAAAAAGTCCGATTTTGTGTCAAAATACCTATATTAGAGCAATGCTATATACAGTCAAAAGCCGTTATCCCAGACACCCATAATCCGGAATGATCTATAATCCGGACCTCAAAGCTACAAACTTTCTGTGCATGCATTGCATTGACGCATGCGCGTAAAACCTTTACCGCTGCGAATTTGCGTGTGCGTGTGCGCAAAATACGTTTACGAATGCGCGTTTAATGTATAACGGACGGGATAAGCTAAGCTAAAATTATATTATCTATTTCACTTAATGTTGCAGATTGCGTTGTTCCTTAATCTTCGAATTGGATCCGGATTATTATTTTTTGCAGACTGTTAGAGCAATTTTATAAAAGTAAGCTTGAACTTTCGATTATGTCAAATAGAATTTCCGATATATATTTACTAATATGTAAAGGATATACAAAGCGAAAGTATCTTTTGGAATCCATTAAACAAAAAATGGAATTGCTGCAAAAAATAGATAAAGGCATATTCTTTGTTTACCTAAACTTTAACGTTTGTTTATCTAAACTTTGTTTATCTTTAACACTGCGGTGCGGTGCGCAATGAATTGGAAGTTGATCTGTCAGCACTATCCTTATCTTCAGGGCAGATGTTTTTATTTTATTTGGCTTATAATTCCTTACTAAATGTAGTATTTCATCTCAATGTACTTCGTCTTTGATATGATTTAAATCAAATTCCTCATCATTATAATTCGCTTCCGATAGCGAAGAAAGTAACAGAGGTTATTGAAAACGAAAAAATTTCGATTGACAAATTAGTCGGTGTTCTTGACACAGCAATTATAGGACTTGAACGGCGGAACTTTGTAACTGAACAAGAAATTATGTCTGTTTAATAGAATTAAAGAGAAAGTATTATCACATGAAACGAAGCAAAACTTAAACAACTTACATTGAAAGAAATGTTTAATAAAGTAAACAAATAAATATTAAGCTTTTTCTTTTTGCAAATTTTGATACCCTTTAGATCATAATTGTTCTTTATTTCATAAATTACGGTTTCATATTTTTAATTTTAGAATTTCTGCATGCCATCTTACGAGATTTAAACTGATGATCTATAATCCGGAAAAATCGATAATCCGGAATCGCCGAAGTCCCGACGAGTCCGGATTAACGACTTTTGACTGTATATAGCATTATTCTAATATAGGTATAGGAAATCTAATATATATTGTAAGTCGCGCAAAACTCAAGTTGAATTTCATCAATTGGCCCAGTAGAACGGGAGATATAGAGCTGTCCTTCCCCCCCCCTTTTTTTTTTTTTTTTTTTTTTTTTTTTTTGCTCAGTGTACATCTCAAACATTTGCATTAAACTTTGCAAAAATATTTCAGAAAGAGACACAAATGGACTACATAATTTAAAGAAAAAAGTATTTAAAAAACTTTACAAAAAACCTTAGGTTAAGTTTTAATTATTTTTTTAAATAATTTTAATTTAAAAACAATCTATGACACAAAAAGAAGATCTTGAGAAACATACATACTTCAACAAAATTCCATTTCCTTGCTGGACAAACATTTCCCAATGATTTGAAACCATTTCTTCCAGTAATTCTGTCGGGTGTGTCAAAAACAGTCTTTGAATTTTTCAAACTTGGTGCTGCAGCAAATGCAACATTGATTAAATCAATTGGCTGATTTTGATCCAAATGCCTACAAAAGTTTTTAGAATAAGTGTTCTTTATAAATAATTTTAAAAATGAAATATTTGTGCTTCGAATCTGTACCAAAAACTTCAGTCTACAAGAAGATATTTTTAAAAAAATTACCTGCTCAAATTTTTAAAGATTAAAGTTCAGACAAATTTCATTAATTTACTACAAAAAGCCATAAAAATTTTTGACGACACAAAAAGTGGGGCGGGGAGAACCTAAATCACAAAATTATATGAAGCATGCAATAAATAAACATTTGAAATCACAGAATTTAATGAAAAAATAAATAAATAAATAAACAATAAATGTACAAACAAATACACAGTAATACAAAATAAATAACACTAAATAAAATACAAATAAATGACACATATAAAAAAATTACCTAAATTACAACACTATTCAAGATAGTCCATTCAACTTGCTCTAAAACCTTAAGATAGTGGTGTCATGATATTTTTAAATTATGCTAGAAAAAGGAGATTTAATTTCTCCTGTATATCAAATTATGTTTGCAAAGAAACATATTTTCTTTATCCAGAAAATTAAATAATCTATTACAAAATAGAAAGTGGCAGTTACTTTCTATAAAAGAATCTGCAATATGCATACAGTAAGAATTTAACATAATAATACATTTCATAGATGCTAACATTATCATTCAAGGCATGCTATAAATGGAAATCAATATAAAATTCAAGAAGTGCTTTTACTACATCAAGCTTGTAAATGTTTTAATAAATACAATATATATAGATGAATTATTTGCACTTAAGTATTAGTGTAACCAGTTTCACGCTGTCTGGCGATTTTGTACATGAGAAAAAGGGTGAAGATTAAAATTCTAAAAGTCAGTCAATAAACCTATTTATAAGCAAGTTTTTTTTTTCTTTTGTTCTGGCAAAAATTTTACATTGAGTGCTTAAAAAAAAAAAAAAAAAGATTCAAACACTATTTTACGTTAAAATACAGTAGCCTTGCAAAGATTTTACTACATTTTCTTCCACTGCAGGCAAATCTCAAAAGCACATAATTTAACATTGAATTTGAAATAAAAAATACCATGACTTTCTTATAAAAAAATGATTGAAATTTGGAATACAACATAAAAAAACATGTGCAATATATAGTTACATTAATTGTTAGAACCAAAAAATTATTTTGTGCATGATTACCAGAATTTGGCACATTCTGAAAATTTGGTAGTAAAGTGATTGTGTTAATATGCAAGTACTGAATGAATTACTTTTGATATCAGCTACCAAAAAAACCATCTAATGGTATACCCAACTAATTTTTAAAAGAGTGTTGTTATATGTAAAAAACTGAAAAGTACCTTTACATATAAGAACAGCTTTGCTTTTAACAAACACGCTAAGCATCACTGAAGACAAAATTTGTATGGTAGTTCTTAAAAGAATCATTACATCCTACCTAAAAAGTGCTCAAAAAAGAAAATGGATTCGTGATGCATTTCTTAAGTGGCTCCAAGAGCATCCATGGATCTTAAATGCAAATAAAAGACGATTAAGAAATATGGGGCAAAATGTAAAAGCTGATAAAGGAGACATAAAAAGCAGATTTTGAGATGTAATGTGCATATGGAGAAGGTGTGCAGGTGTAGTACAGAGTGTAGCTGAGTGGTAGGTAAAAATGTTTTGCTGGCATTCATCATCATTCCTTGTGCAAATTTTGAGCAGTATACATTGCTACATGAACATTACATTGCTACATGAACATGGAACTTACCGACATTTGATCCATGTCCATGTAGCAATGTATACTGCTCTTACCGACATTTGTTTTACATATGGGCCCAGAGCAGCTACTTCAAGGACACTCAGAAAATGTTTTCCAAGTGCACCTTTGAACTGCTGTCCTGTTATTGCATAGACCCATTCATAAATGCATGTCTGCAAATTCAATGCTTGTTCAATGATGCAAGCCACTTGAAAACTGCAAAGGTAGTGACAAATTACTCTAGAATAGCATTTTTATTTCCCATTCAATAATCCTCTATAATTTCTCAATGAGCTAACTCTGCACACACTTATCATTACAAAACTGCTTATTTCAGTGTCTATCTGCCTTTACCTTTCTGCCAGATATTATTTACTCATACTGTATTAGACTCTATATGTATACTTTAATCTGTTTGAAATTGTTCAGAAGACTGCTCTTAAAAGTTTTCTAAAACTATTTTAAATGGAATGATAGAGTTTATTGAATAATAACTGGAAATTATTAAAATAACAACTATAAATTTCTTAAACAACTTTTATTACATATTATGGCTTAAGTTTAAAAGTAGATAGAAATTTAAGTATATACGTGCATGAATATGTCAGCAGTTAAACTAAATACAATTTTGAGACAAAATAAATAAACTGCTTACCTATCTGCAAGACAAGCAATAACAATTGAGTCTAATCCACCCGAAAATAAAATTCCTGTGGGGGCATGATCACAGATTACTTCAGTTTCTTTTGGATTTAGTAATGTATAGCAGCTTTTACATAAATGCTGCTGATTAGAAACACGTTTCCTCACTGCTTCTGATAGAACTTCTTCAAATCTTTCCACTATTTCAATCATAGCAGTTTTATTTAACAATTTACAAAGAGTTTCCTGTTTAGCTTGGCAATTCTCTTCTACCATATTAAGGTCTAAATTTACATCATCATCATCTGGTATTTCTCTATTCAGTTGCACTGAAATTGGATTAATCAAACACATTTCTAGTTTAATTTCAAACTTTATGTTTAGAGACATTTCCTCAAGAGGCACTTTTTTTAAAGGTAAGCCTGAAACAGCTGAAGTCCACGGATACTTAAAAATTATAAAACTATCATTAGCACAGCTTGCATTCAAGTCTAAGCAGAAAATCCCTTCTGTAGGAACTTCACTCCACTGAGAAAAGAAAAAAAATATTTCATATAAACTGACGAATGACTTCATAAAGATATTATAAAATAAAAATCAATAAATTTAGAATAAATGTTCATGACTTTTTTAATTTCATGTAAGGTATTAATATCAGCTTAGCAAACATAGCACTGACACCATGCCAAAACTATGAATCAGTAAAATCAATGTTTCAGGGAAAACGACTTTAAAAACCTAGTACTGGTTTAAAAAAAAAAAAAAAATTGAAGAGAATTTTTATAAAACAGTTTTTTTTTTTTTTTTTTTTTTTTTCTTTACTTTTTAATGTACAGATCTTTCTTTTCACATAGCGCAAAGCAAAACATCACAAAACAACCTAATAAATGAACAGCAAAAAATTTACTTTTTAAAGGAGCTGTGAAATTAAAAAATGGTTTTAGTTTTTTTGCATAATGTACAAAATCTGAAAAAAAATTTCCCCTTATTTTTTCCCCCCACTGTGCCACCAGGCATTTTAGGCCTGGTGGCACAGTGGCTAGTGCATCACCACAGGTCCGGGGTTCGATCCCCAGGCTGGCAAGGTTGACTCACCCTTTCGTCCCTTGAGGGAATCAATAAAATGAGTACCAAATTCGCTTGGGTAATAAACACTGGGGGGGGGGGGGGGTCCTGCGACAAGCTGACCATTTCTCTGGAGTAATATACTCATGCACCCCAGAGCCCATGGTATAGAAAGCAGATATCAGGGCACTGCCAGCCATGGCTATCTAAGGGCTGTTTGTACCACTGAGTTAGTAGAAGCATTTAGTGTTATCGCATACCTCTGAAGTTGTACAAATACCATACTGTCAAACATACAGTGTTACTGATTATGCAACATTTGACAGAAATTATTTATGTCTGACCACCAGAATTATTGTGCAGAGGATTTAGCCCAAAAAAGATTACAAACTTCACTGCACAAGTAGAAATGAACCCCGGTTGTTTACAAAACCTGTATTAAATAATTCATTGAGTAGAATTTCTCAAAACACATTTTGGAGCTATTCAGCGTTAGATTGAGAAAAAAGAATCTGCTGGTTCTAAGGATACTTTTAAATATTTTTAAGATCTAGATAAAGAATTAATTCAATAAATTTCTTTTGAAAAATTCTAAAATTCTGAAACACGCATTATTCAAAATACATATTTCATTAACATTTACAATCAAACAAATAAATTATGCATATCCTATATTTCATTTTAAAATAATAGAAATTACATTTGCTTTTCCATATGCAACAGAACTAAGACGGAGAATGAATTTTTCAGCATTCCATAAGAGACTTCTGCGGCCAAATATATCTCTGCCAAACCATAACAGACCATTAGACTGAAATAAAAGAAAATATTTAATCCCAGAAATGAAATTAATAGAAATCATATACAAAAAATATACAGTCAAACAGTTTTAACGGCCAGGATAGGATGAATAAAATTTCCTGTTTTTAGCAGAAATAATCAATTTATTGTTTCCTTTCCTGTTCTCAAAAACTCGGTGAAAATTAATATTTGTAAGATAAAAAAGATGAGTATTATTATACGAGGGCCATCCAGGAAGTAGATTACGTTTCCGTCTGTGTCCGCTAGGGGCGGGGCTAGCGCGGCCATCTTGGGGTCAGAGCGTTGCGCAGCTCAGTCTGCATCTAGCCGTGCTAGTGAGAGGTTCGTGCTGTGCTCCGTTCAGATACTGTGACGGTTTGAAATGTCTGTGTTAATTGAAAATCCCGCGAGGTGCGCTCAGTAATAAGGTTTCTGACTGCAAAAAACTGTAAAACCGATAGAAAATCTATCGGCAGCTTCGTGAAGTGTATGGGGACAACATTATCACTGAAGGTGGAGTGCGTCAGTGGGTCATAAGATTTCAAAATGGCCGAACCAATGTTCACGACGAAGATCGAAGTGGGAGACCCAGCATAGTGACCGCCGAACTTCTCGAAAAAGTCGATGCTAAAGTCCGTGAAAATCGAAATTTCACAATAACGGAACTTTCTTTGAGTTTTCCACAAATTTCGCGAAGTTTGTTGCACGAAATCATCAGCGAAAAAAAGCTTGGTTACCACAAGTTTTGTGCAAGATGGAAGGCAAGAAGAGGTAACGAAGTGGTTGAAGGCGCAGGCGGCCGAATTTTTCGACGAAGAATTTCCAAGCTCGTACATCGCTACGATAAATGCCTTAATTTGTATGGTGACTATGTAGAAAAGTAGTATTTGAGTGTGGCTTTCATCTGTATATAATAAAATTTGTTTCCTATACTTTATTTTTTTTATTCCAAAACGTAATCTACTTTCTGGATAGCCCTCGTAATTACATACCTACAAAATACCTTATAAAGCTGATTATTAAGTTACCTCATACCAGCTTTATAAGGTATTTTGTAAATAAGAAATTATAATAATTTTTATCTTTTTTATCTTATAAATATTAATTTTTACTGAGTTTTTGAACAACATTTTATTCAAAATGATTCCTCTTTGCCAGTGTCAGATTTAAATATAAGCTGCACAAGCTATAGCTTAGGGCCCCCACTTTCTTGAAGCCATCCCCAAAAATTCTACCACATCGGATATAAAAAAAATTGACTCGTATATCCCTCATAAAGGGCCCCATATCTGAAATAGATTAGGATCTTGTCAAATCTAAATCCGGTCCTGCTCTTTGCTATAAACAGATCCAATCTATGTTGTTACTCATCTGCTTATAGCACAACCTAAAATGAAGATGACTGATCTCTTGTGGTATTGTAAAAATTTTTTGGCGTAAACTAAAATTTTGAGTGAGCCTACTGTAAGAGTTAGGTGATGTTGAGTCTGGATTTTACTTCGAAGAGATGCACTTACTCTAGGTGACCTATCCAAATTTTTGGAAACTGGCAGTTAACTGTAATACTTGATTTTTGTGACACCTCGTAAACGATTTTACTTTATATTACCACAAAGTAGATACATTTACAGAGTGCTTTATTTATATGTAATTTAAAACTATACTAAACACATTTTCTGTAACTAAATATACCATTAAGTATCAGTTATTGATACTTAAATAGCTTTTCTCTGCTGCTCAGACATATACATTAAAATGGATATTTTTTTTTTAAATATCTTGATATTTCTCAAATCATTTTTAACATATTCACTGTATTAAATAGCTTGTTACATACTTATTTCCATTTTTTTAAACAAAATTTAATGTATGCATTGTAACTCAAAATAGAACTGCAATGTATAACTTTGGATTGATGAACATTTACTAAGCATATGCTTAAATTTTCAGTTAAAAAAACTTGTTCATTCCTTCATTTATTAACCCCTCCTAGGTTGGCATCACATCTCACACATTCATTGTCTTTGTGCCCGGAAGGCCGACCATTCTATCCTTGAAAATGAATTTGTCGCTTTAAATTCCATGATTATTTTTGTATTTCTGAAAATTGCTAAGAGATAGCGTGACTAGTCCTAGTTTCTTCACAATTTTCGCAGTGAGATTTCCCACCTTGAATATCCATGTTGGAATTTCAACTATTGTTGGAATTTCTTCTTGAACAATCTGTTGGAATTTCAACTAAAAAAAAAAAAACCATTCAAGATATTTTTTATATTCATAACCAGTTTTTTGTGTTTTTTTTTTAAATAAGGTAAGCAAAAAAAAATTTTTTTTTTTTTTTTGATTAAATAGATGATTTTGTGATAAATGTGGTTTTTAAGCTGAGATATCCAAAGTAGACTGTAAAGCTGTTTTAATGGTAAGATTGGAAACCATTTTCTAAAGCATTTTTCTGTAATTTTAATAATTATTTTATGTAGATATTTATATTAAACACACCAAAACAATAGAGTTGGTAAATATAGTATCACATTGTATTTTTTTTTTTTTTTTTTTTTTTTTTTTTTTTATTTAAAACTTGGATGCACTGCAGGTAAAACTAATAATCCAAGTACAGGATATTACATATTTGACCACCCGCAGGTCCATCAAAACTGCCTACAATCAAAAATATTTTGGATTTTCGAATTTAGGATAGACCATATATTAATTTTCAGCGATAAAAAAATGCTTTATTCAGGTCAGAAATTCGAAAAAAGAAATCCGACCAAGAAAGGGTTAATACTTGTCTCTAGATGAAATTTTTAACACTTTTAACTGCAACTACTAACACAAGCAAAATAAATGCAATTTCTGAAATGTATGTTTAATTATAATTTTTAAATAGTGGCATAAAAAATAAAAAGACACTCTTATATGAAAACTTAAGATTACAGTTTAATCTCTCACAGACATGTTCATTATTAAAAATTCCAAAAATTAAAACATAAACAATCATAAAAACTTTTAGAAAGCTGCATTATAATCTTCAGATTCAGAATTCAGTTTAACACTTGATATATATTTTTTAACTAATTAGCTATGATAAGTCAACTAATTTTTAAAAAAAATCAGCACAAATTCAAAATATACACCATAAAATTAGCACTTAAAAAGAGTTGTTCAAAACAGTAATGTCAATTGATAGAGGAAAAAGTACTTGCATTATTAATTAATACCACAGAGAGATTTTTGAATTAAATTTATTCCCCCCAAATATATATATAATTTATCAAGCAAAGCAGTAATAACAATTTTTAAAAAACCAATTTTGGTCTAGAAAACATCTTGCGCTATATGCTGCAAAATAGCCTTGAAAAGCCTGTTTGGAAGTCGAATTGGGCTAATTTACCATTTTCCGCTTACTTTTTAACTTTTTCTGTTTTTTTAATTTTATTAATGTTTTACATGTCTAATGATTTGATTTTCTTGTGTATTAATTTTTTGAAAACGTGTTAAACCTTTTGGAGCAGCAGCTCTTGGTAACTTTTAGGCGAGCTTACTACAATTTATATATATATATATATATAGTTGTGCGTTAGCTTACAGCTGCAGGTGCACTGCCAGCAATATAACCTATAACTTAGCTTTTCTGTAGGCCCCACAACAACCCTATATGCAATTCCAGATTTTTCTTGAAAGGTGCATTTCCCCCCTTCTTCTGAGGTGGGGGGGGGCAAAGATAAGAGAATATAGGGATGCCCTTTTTTATTTACTAATTTATTTATTTCACCATCAACATCAGACCAAATATAACATACATATGTATATATGTCTATATTCTTTCTTTTTTTTTTTCCAATAATAACTCTATTCTCATGGAAAATTATTATGCAATGCTTATTCATCCTGTGCTTAATTTTTAAAGCATTTTGAATCATGCATTTACTAGATTTGCAGAGAAATGAGACTGAAGGAATCCATAATTTCCAAGAATGTAGTATTTGCTAAAAAATTTGCCAATATTCCTATATTCTGACAATTAAACTGTAAATGATGAAAACTGTACAGTAGTAATGTAAACAGCTGCAAATAAAGTGTTAGAGTAAGAAGTGCAATCTGATTTAAGGGAAGTCACTTGCCCTTTTTATAAAGCAAAGTTCAAACAGAGGCAGATATAAACAACCTATTTGACGCGATACTGAATGAAATTGCCGAATAAAACCTGCCTGGATTTAAAGAAAAAATAATTTTTAATCCTTTCCCTAAGGATGAAAATAAATTTCATCACAAAAAGGTTGTTAGCAGTCTACTGGTGCTAACATCTACAAGTTAATATCCAAGTATCAAAAATACTTAATCTTAAAGAGGTTCTATGCCTCAGTTTCAGAGATTGTCTACGTTGTGACTTAATCTCATTTGTTTAACAATAGCATTGGAAGAAGCTTATAAATTTTTATGTGTAGAGAAGCACAGAATTTTACATCTGTCATTGGCATGGGTTTCAGGCACCTGATATATATACAGTCAAAAGTCTTTAATCCAGACTCGTCGGGACTTTGGTGATTCCAAATTATCGGTTTTTCTGGATTATAGATCATCAGTTTAAATCTGGTAAGATGGCATGCAGAAATTATAAATTTTAAAATATTAAACCACAATTTATGAAATAAAGAGCAATTATCATCTAAAGGGTATGAAAATTTACGAAAAAAAAAGCTTAATATTTATTTGTTTACTTTATTAAACATTTCTTTCAACGCATGCATGCGTAAAGCGTACATTACGCATAGTCGAAATTAGAAAATTGCAACCAGAAAACTATTTGACGCGCATTCGTGATATTTATAATGACGAGGAAATTGATTTAAATCATATCAAAGACGGAGTACATTGAGATGAAATACTACATTTAGTAAGGAATTATAAGAAGAATAAAATAGAAACATCTGCCCTGAAGATAAGGATAATGCTGACAGATCAACTTCCAGTTCATTGCGCACCACGACGTTTGCAGAAATTATAAATTAT